TATATATATATATATATATTATATGTTGAATTCCCATAACTTTTTCGTATGTTTAATTTTCTTTTATTAATATTTTGATACTACTGAGTAAAAAGAATTGACTCCATTTTGAATCTTTAAATGCAATAAAAGACCCTAAATTTTAAACCTATCAAATTCCTTGCTCTAACACTAACACAATTTTAACTCTTTCGTAGATGCATATCTTCCATCTCTATTGTAATTCTTCATCATAAAAGAAATAAAGAAAGACTAAAAGAAAGGATCACTCTGAATATAAGAAAACGATTTGATTCAAAATCACAGAAAAAAATAAAACTGAACAAGAAAAAGAGAGGAAGCGACTTTGGGAAATGGAGACCCGAAACAAATTGGAGTCCGTTGGTGATAACAGCTTTGACGAATTCTTGAACCAATTGATCTTCAATAGCCAAAAAAGTTAAATTATAGTATTCAATATTACAATTATATCCAATATTAATTTGATCCATTAAAAAAATAATTTAGTTTTTGAAGGGTTTAAAGGTCGATTAACATTTTAAGAATATTTTTGTCGTTCAACATTTAGCATATAAATAGATATAGATATAGATAGATATATAAATAGATAAATAAAATTCTAATGCCGGTATGTACAAGTTAAATTATTTACTTTAAACAATAAAAAGGAACAGGTGGAATATGCAATTTCTTGACGGGTACGGATCATGATCCATGAGGCCTAAGCGGTTGATATACATGAGGCCCGATGGGTCTTCATTTTCAAGGATTAATTGACCCAACTATAATCTTTCTATTTCATTTGGGCTTTTAACATATTTGGTCCGTCAACTAAAAGTAATTATATTTCTTACTCAAATATATAAAAAATAAAAAAACTATCAGCTATTAACTTATTACAAAAATTAGTTAATTCACTAAATATTACTAATATTAGCTAATTAGCTATTTGTAGCAAAAAAAAGTCAAATTTTTGCTTTCTTTTAAGTGAGTGTTATTAGAATAGATTTGGTACATCTTAAGTAGTTTGAATCTCAACTTTGGAATGATTTGGTGGAGTTTTTAGGTGGTTTGAATTGAAAATTCGAAGCGGAAGATGAAACATGAAAAAAATGATATACTGCATATCATTTGTGTATCGTATATGTATATCCATGTATACATGTGTATGTGATACATGCGTAATACATGTGTCGCAGAAAAATTTTTGAACTCGATTTTAACTACGAATTTTGATACCAAATCAGTTCAAATCACCTCCAATTTTCCTCAAAATTTATATTTTGACTCATCTATATATTTTTAATGAATTTCAGTCATATCCATTGAAAAATATCCTTTTTTGCTTAGATTTTTGGAATTTTGTGTATATATATATATATATCATCACCTTATTTGCTATCTCATTCATGAAATTTTCTTTCCGTCTTGCATCTAGTGTTGCCGATCACGCTTAAAAATATGGAGGGAGTGATTCTTGGAGAGAAAGAACCTTATTTATTTGGGTTTTCAATTTATATATATGCTTGACTAGTTTTGGTAAGTCTATGATTAATGGCTAGAGGTTGATAAGTTGAAACTTATTTGGGACATTTATGTAAGATTCCCTAAAACATATACTTTCTTTGTTTAAAAAAGATAAACCTATTTTCTTCTTAGTGCGCTTCAAAAAGAATGATTACTTTTTATATTTGGAAATAATGTAACTTTATACTTCTTATATTCTCCTTAATGAGATGATTTATACTCACACAAATATCTATTGATTGATTTAGACCACAAGTTTCAAAAGTATTTTCTTTTTCTTAAACTTCGTGCCCAGTTAAACATGTCAAATAAATTAAAACGAAGGGAGTATATTGGTTATGTATAAAATATGTACATTGTATATTAATATACCAAAAATATATATTTTTTTGCTATTATTTTTTGAGCAACTATACTGTGTAGATTTCCTTTTTATTTTTTTCTCTCGCAACTTTTTTAGCTCTCTTTGAACCTTTTTGCTATGCAGCTACTGTTACTCCATATCATTATTGCTAGAAATGCTTTTTAAGAAATACTTAACGTTGAATTTAGTATTATGATTCACACTATAGCACTTAAGTCTCATTACTTAATTCCAGATTTTACACTTAATAGTTAAATATTATCAAACCCCATTAGTTGATCTATCAGAATATTTCTGATATGATTGCAATTTTCTGTTCTCGTATCAAACATCTAGGATCATTTTAAGGTTATACTTGTAATAAAGATTAGGTAATCCATCTAAGATATTGAAAATCTTTAACTGTAAAAGGAATAAATAACCTAACATAACTCATATGGGAGTGACTGACTTTTAATTATTTTCCACCAACTATTATTGATATAATTCACGTAATATGAAATTGATAACCCCTTAGATAAAGTTAAGGAGGAATGTGATTTTCATTCACCATCTTTTGAATAACGACTTGATTTTTTATTTTATTTTTTTAACTTTACATTTGAGGCGAACTTGTTAGGATGGAATTTCGATTTATATTTTGTTAGAAATTAATTTTTTTGCGTCCATAAAAAAAAGAAGCTAATTGGACTTTTAATTATACTCGTTCTAGAATTAAAATTGAATTTATGTTTTGTATACACAATGTAATGAATTTTTAAACTACCAATATGCTCTATTTTCCAAGTCACCATTTCAAACTTACATAAGAAGAGTTATATATTGTTATAAATTACCTTATAGTGTAAGAAATTTATACACTGTGAGTGCATAAAAACATTAGCTGGTTAAAATTATTCATTGGAGAATTATATCAGAGAAATCACATTTTATTTTAAGATAAATTATGCGACACAACAAACATATATAATGTATTTATCATTCATATCTATATTTTTAAAAAATTACCATTCGTAGCTATATTAGAATTTTATAGCAAATTCACCTATAGCACTGAAACAAAAGATCAGTTGTTTGCGAAGATCTTGAGTTCGACTATTATTGAAAATATTCTATTTTTTTTGTATTTCACCTTGATAATAAAGTCGATACATGTTATATCCTTGGTAATACAATCGATATATGTTATATCTTTGATAATACAATCGATACAACTTATATTCTTTATATTCACGTGGTAATAATTGAACTGTAACTTAAGTAACACAGTCGATATAATTGAACAGTAACTATAAATAATAAATTAAATAAACTATAATTAAGTATGTTAATTAGGCTCTAAAGTGTAATGGTGTGCTAAAATTCATCAATAGCAAATAAGTAGAGCTTTGACGGTTATAAAAATGTATGTAATCTTACCATTACCCGTATGTGATTGTTTTAGCTCTCTTCTTCTGGCGCACATTCCATTTCAGAGAGAAAAGTCCAAAAAGTCAGATAGCCTGATAGAGCACCCCCTACCACCCCCATGCCCCCCTCGGTACCGCAAATTTCACCTACCATTCACTCCCCCCTCCCCCTCCCTTCGCTCTCATTATCATCGCCTTATTGCATTTTTCAATGCGATAATTCATTACTTTTTCATCTTTGATTTTTCAGAGACACTGTTGATTCGCCGCGTTGACTGATCCATATATTATCAATATTGTATTAATCAAGTTATTAGGGTTTGTAAATTTTCATTTCTGTGAAGGATTCATTTTCTGTTTGATCGTATAGGTTCTTCCACGGCGTTTCCATATCGAAGGTGAGCTTTTCACATTATTTAATACAACGAAAAGAATCCGTCATTTAGTATAGGATGATGATTAATTTTTTTTACATTTTTTAGCATTTATTATTATTATTTTGTTTAATTAGAGCTTATGAATGTGAAATTGTTTATCTATGAATTAGGGTTGGGTCTAGGGTTAGGGCGATGCGGATGGAAGCGTCCGGTACAAATTCGGACGCACACAGAGGTATTTCTTCATCGAGTAGTAGCAATATTGGTAGTAATTCTAGAAGACATGGAGGAGGAGTGCAATTATCTGCTTCGAATTTATTTCGTGCGCCATTATCAACATTATTGGAGTATTCTGGAATTTTAAGGACAAGGTCAAATCATTCAGAATCAGATAGTTTGATAAACCATTTTCAGCCCCGTGTGGATGATGATAATGCTGGGGCATCATCACCAGCTTCTGCTGCTGCTGGTTCTGGTGAAGTTTCAATTAGGATTATTGGTGCGGGCGAGCAGGAGCATGATAGAGTTGGGACTGTTGGTGTTGGACCAGTGAGGGAAGTGGATGGGCAAAATGAAGTTTTTGGGAGGCCAATTTCGAGGTCGGGGTCTGCAGCTTCAGTCGGAGCATTGGAAAGTCAACCGGGTGATAGAGGGGTGGGAGATGGTGTCAATGGGAACGCAGATATGGGGGCTGCTGATGGTGCTGGTGCTAATAATAGGGAGTCCTCTTACCAAAGATATGATATACAGCAGGCTGCTAGGTGGATTGAGCAAATTATTCCGTTCTCTTTGCTTTTGTTGATTGTTTTCATTCGGCAGCATTTGCAAGGTATATTGCTGTTTCCTCTCTATGGTAACTAAGTGATTTTCTTAAGAAACTGTCCGTCATACAGTTCTTGCTTAGTTTCTTGTACTTTTAATTGTATCGTGTATTTAGTGATGCTTGTTTGCGTTTTCCGTTATTTTGGGGCTGGTGTTTGGCAACATTTTCCTTGTCCTTTCTCTCTTCTGGTAGCTAATTTTATTTTTATTTTGGGGGCGCGGGGGGGNGGGTGGGTGGTGGGTGGGTTAGTGATGGTATCTATGCTCTGCCGTTTTCTGTTGAACGTTGTGATGGCTATCAATTTTCTTGTTTTGCGTGTTTGAGGGTTACTGTGCATTACTTTAATTTCCATAAGTTAGTATTTCTCAAGATTGCTCTTTGCTTGTGCATGAACCCGCAGGTTTCTTTGTTACAATTTTGATCGCTGCCGTCATGTTCAAGTCAAATGATATTGTAAAGAAGCAGACTGCACTTAAGGTGATGCAAATGTCCTCACAACACCAACCCTCTACAAGGGAAAANCCCTTACAACACCAGCCCTCTACAAGGGAAAAACAGAAAAAAAAAAGGAACTGATGTGCTTATTAATCTGTCTTCCTGCCCTTTTCTGCTTGATACTTTTCTCATACTAATAAACATTGAAATTATTGATCTTCTTCTTCCTTCCAGGGCGAGAGGAAAATCTCTGTTCTGGTCGGTGTATGTCTTCTGTTCAGCGGGTATGTAATTGGGTTTTATTGGTGGTACCGAAATGATGATCTTTTGTATCCGTTGTTGATGCTACCACCAAAGGCCATACCTCCTTTTTGGCATGCCATCTTCATAATCATGGTGAATGGTATGTTCTTGTGAAAGTTGTCATAATTAGAATTTCTTGCTCAGCATTTGGACTCTTATGTGTGAATAGTTTAATACAATATCATAGAGTTGACTTCTTTTGCTTTTCTTTCCTTATAGATACTTTGGTTCGCCAGGCAGCAATGGTCTTCAAATGTTTTCTGCTGATGTATTACAAGAATAGCAGGGGCCGGAACTACCGCAAGCAGGTGACAGCAATGTAGATAGATTTACCCACCCTATCATTTTCTGAATAGGCATTATCTCTTCATGCTCAGTTCTATGTGCATGTGTATAAAAGGGAAAAAAGAAGCTTTCTGAGAAGTTATTTTCTTTACAGGGTCAATTGCTAACTTTGGTTGAGTATCTTGTACTGCTATATCGTGCTCTGCTTCCGGCGCCAGTTTGGTATCGTTTCTTTTTGAACAAGGAATACGGAAGCCTCTTTTCATCATTAATGACCGGGCTGTATCTAACTTTCAAGCTGACTTCTGTTGTCGAGAAGGTATCTTTTTTCAGTCGATCTGTATTATCTTCCATTTATTCTTTGTCCTTCAGTATCTTAATCTTTCTTTCTTGATAAGGCAGTATCTTAATCTCTCTAATTTTAAGGGTCGGCATTGTCATTTCTCTAACCTAATTCTCATCTGATCCTACCTTCATATTCCTTAGGTCCAATCTTTCTTCACATCTTTGAAGGCGCTGTCACGTAAGGAGATTCACTATGGAGTATATGCGACTCCTGAACAGGTAAAAGGGTTTCCTATTTTTTTTACTTTTTGATAATAAGTATGTATCCTGAAGTTCTTTCTCAAAAAAAAAAAAGTATGTATCCTGAAGTTGCTGTAAGTTGGTTTCCTCTTCTTTTTTGATAAGTAAGATAGTTCTCCTCTTCCTTTGCTCATGAGAAAGAAGAATTACACAAGAGAAGCTCATAATGCAACTTAGAACTCGATATTCCAAAGTTTAGAATTCTATATTCACAAACATAGGAATTCCAGACATAGAAACTTATCACCTGAGGCCTTATCAAACAAACAATAAAAAAAAGAAAGAAACTTATTACCTGAGGATTTTGTAAATTTTCCCGCCTCAGAGGAATGTCAGTTTAAATGTCTAACAATCCGATTCAAGTATTAATTTTTTCTGTGGCATAAGTTTCAGATTAGAACCTTTATCATATGAATATACTTGAGGATTGCGTTGCTGCTCTGTCTACTGGAACTGCTGTTTTTACTTTGAGTAGAATGGGGGGAAATGTTTTCCTCTAGTATGGTGCTACTATTTGAAGAAATCTCGTATGGTGCTATTTTTAATTAACATATTGGGTGTTGGAGAGCCTCTCTACCTTCCCAGGGTATGGTTAGGTCTGCGTACACACTACCCTCCTCAAACCCACTTGTGGGATTTCACTGGGTTCGTTGTTGTTGGAGGTGTTGGAGAGGTTCCCCTCTGGTCTAGGATGTGACAAATGCAATTCATGCCTTGCTCTTCAACATTTTTATGGGTAGCCATCTGCTTTATCCATCAGTATTTTGAGAAATCCCTTGTGGTTTGTGGTTGATGTTTCCCTTTGAAGAAATGGTGCCCAGTGTGAGAGTTCCCTTAGAGGAGTGTGCTTGATATTTATCTTGAAGAGAGAGACTATCAATAAACAATTACTGTGTCCACACGAGGATGCCTGAATAGTTGAGGCAAAGAAGTTACAACCTGAAGATCTCAAGATCACATCTCAGGTACGACACTCAGTATGAGTCCATCAGCTCTAGCCCCTTGGTGGACAGGTTTAGCCAACACTTGTGCATATAAGCTGGCAAGGACACCAACATCATAAAAAGAAACCTTCACTTTCTTGACACTTAATCGGAGTCCCATGCTATGCGATGCAAAGGAGGAGATGAGTACAAAGAATCCTTAGTAAGAAAGGGAAGGAAAAAGAGAAGTTAGAGAACTGAAGGAAGAAGGGGGTGGAGTCCATATATAATTAGACAGCTAACACTTATCACAAAACAATTGAAAATAAATAAACAAACAAACAAATAAAATAGACAGCTAACTGAGCCCTCTATATCTAAGATCTAGTCAGTGAATAGCAGACAGGGACTTCAGGATTTGCTTAGCACCTGAACTAACTACATCAGATGTTAAATGCATTTGATAGCAAAACAAAAGTTTAATTTATTTATTTAATATCATATAAAATGACTTGACCAATCAGTTGAACAAAAAGGACCAATATATAATCAGTAATATCATTTAAGATACCAAATGAACTTTTCCATCCTTTTCAAATTGATATCTTGATTTGACTTTGGGGGTTATAAAAGAACGGTTGAGAAGGTGAACTATTTTAGTACTCGTGGGGGGACGCATGTGGTATATAGGATTAGCTTTTAGCTTCAACGATAAACATGGAGAAAAAATTATTGAGAAGAATGTAAGTGAATCGTAGATAACTTTTACGAAGTATTATTTGTTTTACCTAGACAGGCTTCTACTCTTCTCAGTACGATTATTTTTCCCATTTAATCTTTGAAACTAAAGTTTTCTTTCTACAAAAGTGAATTTATTCAACACAGGTAAAAAGGAAAAGTGGAAATTTGGTCTGGAATAGGCAAGTCTAACTCCTTAACCACTTAATTAATCATGAATTTTGGTAGTATTATAGATAGACTTTTAAAATGTTATTTGTCAACAGTATTGAGATATTATTTATTTTCGCTGTCATTTAAATGAGTACCAAAATGTTATCCATACGCTTTTCTATTTTTTAGTAAAATTGTTAGCTTATCGGTTGCCTCATGCAATTGACATGTTATTGATCATGGATTTCTATCTCTCTTTTTTTTTTTTTTTGATAACCGTTGAGTCTAGGCCAATTTGCGCACACCTCGACTATTCCATTAGATACCTGCTACCTCCCAGTATAGGGTAACTCTTCCCATTAAGGCTTAGGCAGATGGGAAGATTTCCTAGTGTTTTTTTTGTCTCTACTTGGATTTGGACCTGAGGCCTCGTGGTTCTCCTCGCACTTCCTTGGCCACTAGGCCACACCTTGGGTGCATTGATTTCTATCTGTTATATGAGGATGTCGTGTCTTTTACATGCCATTTATTATTCTCGCTGTCGTTTTGCATTACACCACCTGCTATTTATTGTTGTAATTCATGCTAATTTTACATGAGGTAATTGTGTTTAGCAAGATATGCCTTTTCACTGGTATCAACTTTTATGAATTCGTGTTCTGGATTTCACTTTCCTATAGCTTGTTACATCAGCAGGTTTATCTTCTTCCCCATATTTTGATTAGTCGTTTGTCTTCTTTTTCTTTCACATACAAAACTCATGAAAGCGTGTGCACACCCTTCTCTGTATTGGGCTTGGGTGGGAAATTATGTCCTTCTCTTTCTGTTACATTTAAACATACTTTAATCATCAAATAACGTATCATACAGAAGTATATAACCATCTCTTGATGTTGGTGCCTTTGCAAGTTGGGTTGAATTCTGTGCAAACAATGGTTAGGGAGAGCACTACAGAGGTCTTTAAGGTGTCAATTTAAAAAAAAAAGGAAAAAGAAAATACGCTCACAGGTGTCAAGAGTAGTTTTTGTATGGAAGCTATTTTCTTTAAAAATGATATCCACTGGAGTGCATAAGGAGGTGTTGGAAAAATTCAAGTACTTGGATTGAGTTGGGGAAAAGCTACCAGAGTTGTAATTGTCTTTATAAGATGAGAAGCCATCCACTGTAAAATTTGTCTTTAGGACTTATTAATGAGTATTTGCAAGAAACTAACCAAATTGTTTGCTTTAAGTGTTTGCTGAAGCTCTAAGACGATGTGATCAATTGCAGGTCAATGCAGCCGGGGATCTCTGCGCTATTTGCCAGGAGAAAATGCATACGCCAATCTTACTACGTTGTAAACACTTATTTTGTGAAGACTGTGTTTCTGAATGGTCAGTTTTCTGTATTTTGCTTCAGCCATTTGTGCTTTGACCCTCTTTGAGCATGGCTCATGCATGACTCTTTGAGCATGGCTCATGCATGATGTATAACCTGATATTAGAATGGAGTGATCTTCATTATCTCAATTGTCACCTGGTAGTTGTGAAGTAATGAGCACAAGGCATTTACATATGATTGCAAATAACACATGAACCATGCACAAGGAATATTTGATATCCCCTTCTTCAGTTTCTTTGAGCTTATTCACCTTGAGTTGGTAACGCAATTTTCTACCCCTATAGCTAGGATTTTCTCTTTTCCTTGGATCCAAGCAAAATGACTCCGATTCAGTTTATCAACTAAAGTATATTGATATGATTTTTTTCTTGATACGATAAATGTTGTCCCCTGAACNGTTATCTTTTATAGAATGAACTAGGGTAGCATCTTCCTTGCTCTTTCTCTTGACCCATTTTTCTGCAGAGTGCATTTTGCAAATTAATATTGTGCAATTATGCTTTCTCCTGATTCCGAAGAATTACTTGTTTCCTCTTCATCCTCTTGATGCCTAGAGAACAAGCATGGAATAGTTCATAATTGAATGAGAATCAGGAAATGCATATTTCTTGTTATCTCAATGTGTTTTATGTAATACCATCTTTCAGTTGTCTTGATGGTAACTTATTTTGTGTGCCAGGTTTGAGAGGGAGAGGACGTGCCCTCTGTGCAGGGCATTAGTAAAACCTGCCGATCTAAAATCATTTGGTGATGGTTCAAGTAGTCTCTTTTTCCAGTTATTCTGAAGAAATAGCTGTCGTTGAGTGGGAGTCTCTTCAAAGCTGCCAACTTCCCTACGAGGAGCTATAGCGGATCAGCCATCCACGGAAAGCGATATTAACACTTAGTTCAGTATCTGATCTGTTGCCTCCAGAAAGTAGTAGGTGGTAAACAGAGTCTCTGAGGCCGTTGTTTATATCTGGTTCCATAACAAGGAGCGGGCTATTGTTCATACGTTTGTGATGAGAAAATATTTGTATCGGTCCATTAATCAACAGAATTACCAAGTGTACAATGTATGAAATAGCTAAGTTGTCAGATGTATATTTCTATCCCCTAAACCAACATATAAAAAAAACATAATAATTCATTTCCTAAACAATGGTATGAAGAAGCTGCATTATTGCGCCCAATGATGTTCAGATTTTTACAAGCTAGATAACTAGCTAGTGCATATGGGGAAAAGCATAGTTTTTGGGTGGGTCGAAGCATATTTGGTTTGCTGGAAAGACGAGGCTCTCGATAATTCCAGGGTCATGTTGACAAAGAAACTTATAATAGTACAACCAAATATACTGAAAGGAGTTGTACTAGGCCAAAGGAGTTGAGCATAAGATCTGCAGAGGGAGTATTGCCTTTTGATTAGTACAACATCTTTCTTTCAAGAAATTTGTGTACTTAAAAAATTAAAGTGTTCTTTTTGACTTGAGTTGTCAAAATTTGTATTTGGATGATAAAGTGTTATTCAAATGGGAGATCTATTTCTAGCCAAATCATTTTTATCTCACCTCTCATTCTTATTTGTGCTGCTACTGGGTTATTTTCGTATCCATCGCTTACTGAAAGGAAATAAGAAAGAAAAGAACATAGGCTCTCCTAAATCTGTGTCAATATAAGGAACAGAGGAACTGATTGTTGTCTTTGTTCCATCCAATTCTGCACAATAATGCAGTTGAAGCTTAAAATGCCATGCTGGGAGTCTATCCCAAAATTTTCTGCTGTGATTTTTATTTTCCCTAACTTTTGTTTCCTTAAGTGAGTTTGATAATGCTAAACAATATATTTCCTTATTTTAGTTTATTAGGAGTCCGTGGATTCATAGAACATTTTATTTCTTAAGTTAATTGACAAGATTTATTCTCATCATAAAGCCATTAATCTTTTCATTTAACATCCATAAGAAGGGATGAAAAGTATGAACAAATTGAACAAGCAAAGGAGCAATCAAATTCAAGTAGGGAGGATTGAGCTGTCTTCTCTTTGCAGAGAAGAAAGACCAAATAATACACACACATTGTTACAAGAAAAAGAATGAACCAATCAAGAAAAGAAGCACCACAAATACAGCACACCTCTTTGCAAAATTCCTCTTAGTTCACCTTCATACCAACCATATCTCAAACAAAAAGATGGAATAATATTAGACAAATATTAATTATTGATGAAATCAGAAAATCAAGATTGGCAGTTAAAACAAGAGTTGATCATTTTCTTGATAAATCTTTCCCCTTGGAAGTTGAAGTAGAATTATTGGAAGTTGATGAATCTTCATTGTGTTGAAGATTTGTTTTGTCTTGTGAACCAAGAGCTGATTCCTTAGTGAGAGAGGAGGTTCTAGATGGTGAATGCATGGATTTAGGGGATAAAGGAGGGGAAGCAGAGAGCATTCTTGAAACTGCAGGTATTGAGGAAACTTCAGTAACTTCTTCAATGCCTTCATCCAAATACACAACATCCTGCATTGTCAGTTGATGGTACTCTACAATCTCTCTTAAGATGAGATTCTCACGAGCATACACTGAATTCTCGTGTGCTAGACGAGCCTTCTCTGCTAATAACGTCTCTAGTTGAAGCCGTATCTGAAATAATTGCAGTACATAGGAAACAAATCAATCTTTAAAGTTGATTTAGAAAACAACATCAAGAATGAAGGCTTACTAGGGTGAAAGAAGAATAAACTTTGTAGTAATAGGTGAAAAATTACCATGTCATCATCAGCAGGGTTGTCTCCTTTCTCACGAGCCTCTCGAAGTATTTTATTTTCTTCTTCCAGCTGAGAGCAACGTTGCTTCGCAAATGCAAGATCAGCTTTAACAGTCTTTAACTCTCGTAATAGTAGTTTGGCTTTTGCTGCAGTTGCCATTGCTACCTGTAACCGCAAAAAAACAGGCCAAAAATGCATTTGATCACCACCAAGGAGAAAATAACAAGATTTGTGTCCTATGCAATGAACTTAAATCATGCTGCAACTTGCAAAAAAAAGAAGAAAAACTTTAGTTTATGTTGCTACAGTTACTTAAGATCTCAAATGGCCGGTTTGTTACTGTTGAAGTAGAGTTGAAAACTTATAATGATATTCAGATACTTAATACATGAACCGGAAATACATCATATATCACGCAAGTTGCCACCTTACGTCGCGAGAAGCCTTTAGTTGATCTTCATGACTAGTTGTTTGTGTTTGTGGCCGAGTCGTTTGCATCTGCCATGGGCTTCGTACACTTGACATATGATCTTGTGACGTCTCAGCAATTGTACTTCCTCCCTGAAAGTCAAGAAAAAATTATGTTGAAGCAGGGCATGTACCTGATGAGGGAAACCCGAGAAACTATAAAATATTCTGGTGAAAATCAGCTTCAGACAATCCATTTCTTCGTAAATCAGCCATGATCCTCTTTGTTACTGTTTTCATATTAACCATTTATTCTCCAAGTCATCTGTTCACTACCTTATCCAACTAGAGTTTAAGCACTGTATATATATATATATTTACACAATCAGGTCAGTTATAAGAAAGACTTCTGCGATGGTAAGGGCTCGGATCATATACAAAAGGAAAACTGTCATCTACCACTAGAGATATAGACACTTAAAATGAGGAATTGTGCATGTATTATTAAGAGAAGAAAGGAGAGGGCTATAAATTATCACCTGGCCTTCTTTTCGGATGCTGCTGTTGGGAGCTTCATATTGCAGGTGGGAGATATGATTACCATCTTCAAGTATTTCTTTGCCTTTCCTAGCTACAACTCCCCATAAACCACCTCCCTCATTTCCACTTGCCGTAAGTAATGTATTACCATTGGAAAGACCAGCCTGATTTTGATGGCCAAATGCACAAGTGTCACCAATTAATTAGAGCCGAAGGAGTTATTCAACAGTGCATAAACACTAAGCTCCCGCTATGCGTGGGTCCGAGTAAGGACCGGACCACAGGGTCTATTGTAAGCAACCTTACCCTACATTTCTGCAAGAGCCTATTTCCACGGCTCGAACCCGTGACCTCCTGGTCACATGGCAATAACTTTACCAGTTACACCAAGGCTCATGATGGGAATATATTGCTCAGCAAGAAATATTTCTGTTGTACCCTTTAATACAACATATCAGATGAGCCATAATGAGAGTCCAAACTGATTAATGCGATTTCATGTTAAGTTTAAATTCTTGATATAAAGAATCAATATCTATTCATAAATTTTGCTATCAGAAATATAAAGCAATAAATAGAGAAGAATTGACATGTGAAAGGGGATGAGTCAGAAGAGCCAGATAAATTAGAGATCATATATCAGACTAGCGGCAAAGTCAGGATTTTCACTAAGGGGGTCAAAAATAAAATAGTAAATCCAAGGGGGTGTCAATATGTAGTACATATATATATATATATATTATTAAAAAATAATTGTGTAGCTACACTGTGTAATATTTCGATGAAGGGATGTTAACACCCTTGAGTACATGTAGCTCTACCACTGTATTGGACAATGCATGCAGATAACTGGCAAGACGGAGCTTGACAATTATATTGGAATTTGCAAAAGAAGATGAGAAGGAGAAGGAGAAGAAGAAGACCTGAGATTGATCGCGATGAGCGGCTGAGGCTCTGATGGCCTGAGCCGCGAGAGAAGAAGAAGAAGAAGAAGAAAAAGGGTCTCCCGGGGAAGCACGAAAAATGCTATCTTCCTGAAATGTGGATGATCTGCTGATCCCCTGCGGCCTCGGGTCGGCAAGGGAACGGAAAATGGTCTCTTCCTGGAAAGTGGATGATCTGCTCATCCCCTGCTTCCTTCTGTATGCCATTTTAGTTTACTTGTTTTGGAGAATATTCAAATCAAGAAAAAGAAGTAGAACAGAAACAGCGCACCGCCACAGGCAGGGCCAAGGTTCAAATTAATGTGAAGATTGGATTATGGATAGTGCAGAAAAGAAAGGCGGGTGAAGGGGAGAGTGAATGTGCGGGAAAAAGGACATATAACGTCTTTAACTAACTTTCCTCCTTTTAAGTTAGACACTATTAAGCATTATTACTCTTTATTTCCTTCATTTTATAGCCTGCTATTATTTCGACGTAGACAATTGGGCACGTTGGGTCGAATTTGGACAGAGTCATATCACTCACTCACTTATAATTCAAACCGTCCAAAGTTTGCAGATAAGTTAGGTCAAGATGAATCAAATAACGGATCATAATCTGATATAACATAATCTTCTCTTTTTGTTTTATCCTTTTTATTTGTAAGAAAATGTGAAAGTAATAATATATATTTTTTAAATTATTAGGCTCTTTCAAAGTTATAGTAATCTCAAACTCCAAATTTGATCTTGTATTTTGGGGTTCGATTGCATTAGTGTATTTATTTGCCCCATTTTTAAAGATATACTCCCTCCGTCTTAGCTCAAAAATTTTGTCCCAGAATAATTGTTCAAGACTGAATTTGTTAATTATTTTCAACTATACCCTTAGGGCTCGTTTGGTACGAGGGATAAGGAATAATTAATCCCTGAACTAAATTTAATAAGAGTTTATCACATGTTTGGTTGGTAGAAAAGTACAGTATAATTAATCCCGGGATTGTAATATTTTTTTATCCCCATGGAAAGGTGGAATAACTAATCCCGGGATAATTAGTCCTGGGATAACTTCTTTCCAACCAAACGACCCCTTAATAATAAAGAAATAGTAATTCCTTTTAATACTACTCAATTCTCAAAAAGCATTTAATAAGGGTAATTATATCTTGTATTTATTATTTTTCTTAGGTCTTGTTTGGATGGTTGTTACCCATCGTTTCATAATGTATCGTATCGTATTGTATTGTTTTGTGAATATAATGTTTGGATAGATTGTATTGTTTGATATTATTTAATAATATTTTATTATTTGGTTTGACTGTATGGTATTGTATTGTAACTGATAAATTTACTAAAATATCTTTAATTGCAGTAAAGTTTAAATTTTATCAACAATAACTCATAAAAGTGGTTTAAGACAACTGTTTTCGACTAATTTATCACCAGTTCCATCTTGTATATATATATAGAGAGAGAGAGTTAATCAATCCATGGAAACAATATCAGAAACCTAATTAAAGAAAAAAGTTAATAATTATTAGCAATAAAAAAAGTAGAACGA